TGGGATGACAGGCTCCCACCACCATGCCCGGCTAATTTTTTTGTATTTTTACTAGAGACGGGTTTCACCATCTTGGCCAGGGTGGTCTTGAACTCTTGACCTCGTGATCCATCCGCTTCGGCCTCCCAATGTGCTGGGATTACTGCGTGAGCCACCGCACCTGGCCCTTTTTTTTTGTTTTTTTTTTTTTGAGACAGGGTCTGGCTCTGTCCCCCGGGCTGGAGTGCGATCTCTGCTCCCTGCAACGTCTGCCTCCCGGTTTCAGCAATTCTGCCTCAGCTTCCCAAGTAGCTGGGATTACAGGCGTGAGCCACTGTGCCCAGCCATGACTGACTGACTGACTGACTGACTGACTTCCTTCCTTCCTTCCTTCCTTCCTTCCTTCCTTCCTTCTTTCCTTTCAAGACAGGGGTCTCACTTTGTTGTTGCCCAGTCTGGCGTTGAACTTCTGGCCTCTAGTGATCCTCCCACCTTGGCCTCCCCAGTAGTGGTGCACCACTGCTCCCTGCTGATTGTTCACTTTCACTGTTGCAGAGTATTTCACTGTACAAAGACCGGATCATAACTCACTGCAATCTTGACTTCCTGGGCTAGAGCAATCCTTCTGCCTCAGCCTCCTGAGTAGCTAGGACCATGTGCCACCATGTCTGGCTAATTTTATTATGTTTTATTATTATTACTTTTTAACATATGCTGACTTTAGTTATTTATTTACTTTTTTTTTCTTTTTTTTGAGAGGGAGTCTCACTCTGTCGCCCAGGCTAGAGTGCAGTGGTGCGATCTCGGTTCACTGCAACCTCTGCCTCCTGGGTTCAAGCGATTCTCCTGCCTCAGCCTCCTGAGTAGCTGGGATCACAGGCATGCACCACCACGCCTGGCTAATTTTTGTTTGTTTGTTTTTTGTTTTTTAATTTTGAGCCAGAGTCTCACTCTGTTGCCGAGGTTGGAGTGCAGTGGCATTGTGTTGGTTCACTGCAACCTCCGCCTCCTGGGTTCAAGCAATTCTTCTGCCTCAGCCTCCTTAGTAGCTGGGACTACAGGCGTCCAACCACCGTGGCCGGCTAGGTTTTTGTTTTTTTTTTCTCTTGAGACGGAGTCTCGCTCTGTCACCCAGGCTGGAGTGCAGTGGTGCGATCTCAGCTCACTGAAATCTCCACCTCCTGGTTTACGCCATTCTCCTGCTTCAGCCTCCCTAGTAGCTGGAACTACAAGTGCCTGCCACCATGTCCAGCTAATTTTTTTTACATTTTTAGTAGAGACGGGGTTTCACCATGTTGGCCAAGCTGGTCGTGAACCCCTGACCTCAGGTGATTAACCCACCTCGGCCTCCCAAAGTGCTGGGATTACAGGTGTGAGCCACCGCGCCTGGCCATGCCCGATTAATTTGTGTGTGTGTGTGTGTGTGTGTGTGTGTGTGTACTTACTTATTTTTTTGAGACAGGGTGTCGCTGTGTCACCCAGGCTATAGTGCAGTGGCGGGATCTCAACTCACTGCAACCTCTGCCTGTCAGGGTCAAGCGATTCTTCTGCCTCAGCCTCCTGAGTAGCTGGGACTACAGGCATGCACTGACACTCCCGGATAATTTTTTTTTTTTTGAGATGGAGTCTTGCTCTGTCCCCCAGGCTGGAGTGCAATGACGTGATCTCGGCTCACTGAAGCCTCTACCTTCTGGGTTCAAATGATTCTCCTGCCTCAGCCTCCCAAGTAGCTGGGTTTACAGGTGCATACCACCACGGCTGGCTAATTTATTTTTTTGTGTGTGTAGTTTTAGTAGAGACAGGATTTCACCATGTTGGCCAGGCTGGTCTTGAATTCCTGACCTCAGATGATCCTCCTGCCTTGGCCTCCCAAAGTCCTGGGATTACAGGCATGAGCCATGATGCCTGGCCGAGGCTGAGTCTTTATCTTGGGGACTGGCCTGGGCACTGCAAGATGTTCAGGAGCAGCCCTGGCCTCTGCCCACTAGATGGCAAGAGGACCCTCTCCTGTGACAACCAGAACTGTTCCTAGTCATTGTGAAATGTCCTTTAGGGGGCAAAATTACCTCCATGGAGAACCACTGGATAAGAACATGGAGTGTGAGGATGCACAAAAGGGAGTGATGTGGCTGGAGAGGGCAGCAGCGGTGACACACACAACGCTCAGCCTCCATCAAGTCAGCTCTGCCCAGGGTGCTCTGGGCAGCCTCTTTCTGTCGGAACAGTTGCCATGGTTTGAATGTGTCTGTCGAAGTTCACGTGTTGAAAACAATCAGCAGGGCATAGTGGCTCACGCCTGTAATCCCAGCACTTTGGGAGGCCGAGGCAGGTGGATCACGAGGTCAGGAGTTCAAGACAAGCCTGGTCAAAATGGTGAAACCCTGTCTCTCCTAAAAATACAAAAAAACTAGCCAGGCATGGTGGCACATGCCTGTAATCCCAGCTATTCGGGAGGCTGAGGCAGAGAATTGCTTCAACCTGGAAGGCGGAGATTGCAGTGAGCGGAGATTGTGCCATTGCACTCCGGCCTGGGCAAAGAGAGCAAAAGCTATCTCAAAAAAAAAAAAAAAAAAAAAAAAAAAAAGAAAAAAGAAAAGAAACACACACACACACACACACACACACATACACACAGAGAGAGAGAGGTGGGGGTCTCACTATGTTGGCCAGGCTGGTCTCAAGCTAGCTCCTGGCCTTAAATGATCCTCCCACTTCTGCCTCCCAAAGTGTTGGAATTACAGGCATGAGCCACTGAATTTAGCCTACTTTTAAATTTTTTTGGTGGAGACTGGGTCTCACTACGTTGCACAGGCTGGTCTTGAATTCCTGAGCTAAAGTGACCTGCCCACCTTGGCCTCCCAAAGTTCTGGGATTACAGGCACGAGTCACCGCACCAGCCTGCAAGTGAATTTTGTTACATGCATAGATTGCTATTTGGACAATTATAAAAGGATTAAATTTCACTGGTATCTCTGAAAGGCTGTGAACAGTAGTCATATAAGTGGTAAGCAATTACCAGGTACTTCCACTTTCCATCTCTTAAATCACAAAATAAAATTACTAGCACCGCAGGGAATCTGGTCTGTTCACTTATGACTGTCATTCACCTTCTCTGAGGGTATTCTATAGCATTCATCATCATTTGTCACAATAGCTTTTTTATGTATTTATGTATTTATTTATTTATTCTGAGACAGAGTTTTGTTTTTGTTGCCCAGGCTGGAGTGCAATGGCGCAACCTTGGCCCACTGCAACCTCCATTTCCCAGGTTCAAATGATTCTCCTGCCTCAGCCTTCCAAGGAGCAAGGGTTACAGGCGTGAGCCTCAGTGCCTGGTCGGCTTGTCACAATAGCTTTGTCATGTCTAAAATTGTGGTTAATGCCATAACCTCCTGGACTCTGCAGCTATTCAGCTACTGTTACTTTGAGTATCTTGTAGTTTTGGGAATGCACCCAGCTCATTCACCACAAGGCCTTTGCATAGGTTGTATCCTTGGGCCTGCTCAGGCAGCCTCTCACCCTTGGGCCTCTCCTGCCCCTCTTGCCAGGCATCTCCCACAGGTGCTGCTATTTCCCATTTACTTGTGTCTTCCCTCAGGAGGACAAGGATGGGGTCAGCTTTGTTCATCATCTCAGTTCCCCCTCCAACCTTTCCCCCCCAGTACACAGCCTGGCAGTCAATGCTGATTTGGGAGAATGAACGACTGATTGTATCGGTTGAACGTTTATTTTATTTTATATTTTATGATTTTATTTATTTATTTATTTTCGATACAGAGTCTCACTCTGTCGCCCAGGCTGGAGTGCAGTGGTGTGATCTTGCCTCACTGCAACCTCTGCCTCCCCGGTTCAAGCAATTCTCTGTCTCAGCCTCCCAAGGAGCTGGGATTACAGGCATCTGCCACTACGTCCAGCTAATTTTTGTATTTTTAGTAGAGACAGGTTTCACTATGTTAGCCAGGCTGGTCTCGAACTCCTGACCTTGTGATCCACCCGCCTCAGCCTCCCAAAGTGCTGGGATTACAGGCGTGAGCCATTGCACCCAGCCAGTTATTTTATTTTATTTAGTTTTTTGAGACAGAGTCTTGCTTTGTCGCCCAGGCTGGAGTGCAATGGCACGATCTCAGCTCACTGCAACCTCTGCCTGCTGGGTTTAAGCGATTCTCCTGCTTCAGCCTGTAGGTGGGATTACAGGCATTACAGGTGCCTGCCACCATGCCTGGCTAATTTTTGTATTTTTTAGTGGAGACAGGGTTTCACCACGTTGGTCAGGCTGGTCTCAAACTCCTGACCTCAGGTGATCCACCCGCCTCAGACTCCCAAAGTGCTGGGATTACAGGTGTGAGCCAGGGCGCCCAGCCTATTTTATTTCATTATGAGATGGAATCTCCTTGGTTGCCCAGGCTGCAGTGTGGTGGTGCAATCTCGGCTCACTGCAACCTGTGCCTCCCAGGTTCAAGCGATTCTCCAGCCCCAGCCACCCAAGTAGCTGGAATTACAGGTGCCCGCCACCAAGCCTAGCTAATTTTTGTATTTTTTTTTTTGAGATGGAGTCTCCTTCCATCGCCCAAGCTGGAGTGCAGTGGTGGGATCTCGGCTCACTGCAAGCTCCGCCTCCCAGGTTCACGCCATTCTCCTGCCTCAGCATCCTGAGTAGCTGAGACTACAGGCGCCCGCCACCATGCCCGGCTAATTTTTTTGTATATTTAGTAGAGACGGGGTTTCACCATGTTGGCCAGGATGGTCTCGAACTCCTGGCCTCAAGTGATCCGCCCTCCTCGGCCTCCCAAAGTGCTGGGCTTACAAGCGTGAGCCATCCCGGCCGGCATTTTAATTTATTTTTGAGAAGGAGTACGCTCTGTCGTCTAGGCTGGGTGCGGTGGCATGATCTCGGCTCACTGAAACCTCTGCCTCCCCGGTTCAAGCGATTCTCCTGCTTCAGCCTCCCAAGTTGCTGGGGTTACAGCCGCGCGCCACCACAACCGGCTAATTTTTTGGTAGAGATGGGATTTCACAATGTTGGCCAGGCTGATCTCGAACTTGTGACCTCAGGTGATCCGCCCGCCTCGGCCTCCCAAGGTTCTGGGATTAGAAAGTGTGAGCCGCCCCCCGCCGGTTGAACATCTGAAGCTTCTAAAGCGAACTCTTAGGTTTCATTGGCACGAGGGGCTCGAACCAGGTCAGCCTTCCAGGCGTCAGTGCCCAATGCTTGGCATCTACTCACAGAAACCAGGAATGAGGGGCTGGAGGCGGAAACAGCTTGAAGAAAGAGGTAGAGGCCAGGGAGTGAGGACGGTGTCTCCTTTTCCTGGAAGTTGGTAATTCAGGCAGAAGGAAATTGGATGAGCTTCCAGAACACCCGGGGGGCCAGGTGGCCCCGATCCCACCTCCACTGCGGAGACGCGGCCCCTTTAAGGCTCCCGGAAACGGTCCCACAGGACCGGAAGTGACCCTCTTTATTTCTCTGCCTCACGTGGTGCGGGCAGGAAGTGACGCGCGTGGCCCGGGAGCTGCGGACGCAGAGGCCGACGGAGCTGGAGTCGCAGACGCCGCGGGGTCTCCGGGACAGGTGACCGGGGGGAGGGGGCCGGGAGCGCGCCCAGAGAAGGCGGGGCCTGAAGCTCCACGTGGCGGGGAGCACGAACAGGCGTGGGCGGGGTGGGGAGCCGCCGGCGGGGGCGGGGTCGGAGTACTCTGCGGGGGGCGGGGACAGGACGCCCACATGGGAAGCTGGAGGGGCGCTGGCGCGGCTGGCCGTTGGAGAGGGGTGGGTAGGGCCGGGGCGAGGCGGGGCGGGGCCCGAGCCTGGGCCGGCGGCTGTGGGCGGGACCTAAAAGTTGTGGCTGGACTGTGGGCGGGGCCATATGTTGCTTGGACAGCTGTGTGGCGGGGCTCCGATGCCCGGCGGAAGCGCTGTGGGCGGGGCCAGAAAGTTTTGCCCGACTGGAAGTGGGTCCAGATCGTTGGCCGGGACGTTGGGGGCGGACCCAGAGGCTGACGCGTGCCGGGGCGGGGCCACTTTATAGTGGGGAGCCAGGGGGCGGGGCCAGGGAGCTGGCGGGGAATGCTGGGGGTGGAGCCAGAAAGTTTCGTCTGAGCCACAGGCGCGGCCAGAGCGTTGGCGGGGAAGCGGGGAGCTGAGCCAGAACCCTGGGGAAGCCACGGGTGGGGCCAGATGCTGACGTAACGAGGTGTGGGAGGGAGTCAGGGGGCGTGTCCAGGAAGTTGGCCAGGCCAATCGGAGGCGGGGCCAGAGGGTTGACTGGGAAGGCCGGAGGCGGGGCTGGAATAATAATAATAAGAGATGGGAGGGGTGGGTCTGGGCTGTTGCCTTGGAGAAAGTCGGGAGGGGGGCTAGATTAATGGCCCATGGGTTGGGGCGGGGCTAGAGCGGTTTCCAGGATGTCGGGGAAGTGGCCCTAGCATTCCCAGCTGGATTGAGGCTGGAGCTTTGCACAGAAAATCTGGGGCGGGCCTGGGTATTTTTGTCCTTGTTAGGGCTGGTGGAGTATTCAGTGGGGCAAAAAGCCAGTTCCAGGAAGCCTCGCCAGTGAGTTCTGGGCCTGTGTACAGAATCCTTTCGGGGGAGGCGGGAGGCTGTTGAGCTTCCTTAGGGTGCTGAAGACCGGGACTAGGAAGTCCCTGGGGAAGGTGTGGGCTTGGCGTGTTCTCTGAAAACTTGGGCAGCCAATATGAGTGGGGTTCAGACTTTCTTTGAGAGTGGGATTAGGAATGTTTCTGAACCTTACCTGGCGGAGCTAGAATATTCGCCTGAATATGAGAGGCACCAGGATGAGCACAGGGAGGTGGGTCTGGAACTTTCTTGTGCAGGCTGGTTGGAGGGGTTGTAGTTGGAACTCTCGATAGGGAACCGGGCTGGCACTCATACCACAGGGTATGCAGGCTGGACTAGAATCTGCGTTTGGAGGAGAGCAGTGTTGGATACTTAAGTAGTGGGTGGGGGCCAGAATATCCCCAAGGTGGGTTTCACTAGATTGTTTACATGGGAACTGGGTGAGTCCACAAAGATCATGAAAGGGCTGAGTCTTAATTTCTTTCTTTTTTTTTTTTTGGGACGGAGTCTCGCTCTGTTGCTCAGGCTGGAGTGCAGTGGCGCGATCTCGGCTCACTGCAAGCTCTGCCTTCCCGGGTTCACGCCATTCTGCCTCAGCCTGTAGCCGGGACTACAGGCGCCCGCCACCACGCCCGGCTAATTTTTGTATTTTTAGTAGAGATGGAGTTTCACCGTGTTATCCGGGATAGTCTCGATCTCCTGACCTTGTGATCCGCCCATCTCGGCCTCCCAAAGTGCTGGGATTACAGGCGTGAGCCACCACACCCGGCCTGCCTGGCTAATTTTTTTGTATTTTTTTTTAGTAGAGATGGGGTTTCACCCTGTTAGCCAGTATGGTTTCGATCTCCTGACCTCGTAATCCTCCCGTCTGGGCCTCCCAAAGTGCTGGGATTACAGGCGTGAGCCACCACACCCAGCCCATCTTAATTTCTATGGAGAAGGTAGAGCTGGCAGTTGAAGGGAGGGAGAGTGAGGGCTAGAATTCTCTTGTGGTACAGGTTTTTTTTGTGTATGGCTATGAGGAGCCCCCAGTATTTTAGAGGACGAAGTAGATTGGGGGCCATTGGCCTTAGTCCTTCTTTTTCCTCTGCCCCCAGGAACCCTCAGTGCTGTGTCTAGATTCTGCAGGGGAGGTTTGCTGGGATCTTGACCCCACCGAGCCAGCGAAATGGTGAGGCTGAAAGTGGGTCTCTAGAATCTCAGTTTTGGGGAAGGGGGCTTGGGAGAATGGGATCCAGGGGGGCAGACTCTCAGACCCCAGGGAAAATCCCTGGTATGGATGGAGGTTTTTCCTTCCATCCCTCAACTGCCTCCCGGTCTCAGGCAGCCACACTCGATTTGAAATCAAAGGAGGAGAAGGATGCCGAGTTGGACAAGAGGATCGAGGCTCTTCGGCGGAAGAATGAGGCCCTCATCCGGCGCTACCAGGTGCCCTAGCCCCGCCCTGGGAGACCCCATCCCCTCTCTTCCCCGCAGTGAGTTTTTCTCACCTCTCCCTTAAAACCTTTTCATAGCTCCCCATCACTGTCAGGATAAAAGCCAAAGGCTTAGCCTGACATCCCTTCTTTCATTCCATTATTCATTCATTCATTCATTTGTTCACAAGTGTTCCCCAAGATCTTTACCATACCAGCCCCGGTGCTGTGTGGTGCTAGGGATACAGCTGTGACTGAGACAGACCCAGGCCTACCCCTCCAGGGTCCACTGTCTAGTCAGGGATGTCCCAGAGTGGACAAGTCTGGAATCAGGAAATCCAGGGGTCTGTGGGAGTCCGGAGGAGGCTCCTGCCCAGCCTTGGGGATATCAGGAAGGGTTTCCTGGAGGAGTGGACTTTGAGGCTTGAGTGGTGAGTAGACAATAACCAGTTGAGAAGGAGAGGGGAACATGTTTCAGGCAGAGAGAACAGTTTGTGCAAATGTTGGAAGCGAGAGAGAGCTTGGAGCTTCAAGTTGGAGGGTTGGTTAGGAGAGAATTGACCTGGGCAGGTCGGCAGGGACTAGGCTGTGCGGGGCCCTGAATGCCACCAGGCTGAGTTTGAACTTTGTCCTGAGGGCGCTGGGGAACCAGGGAGAGCCTTGAGCAGGGGTGGGACCCGTCAGAATAGTTCTTTAGGAAGACGCCTCTGGGTGCTGTGTGGTGGTGGGTGGGAGGAGGTGATACTGGAGCCCAGTGACCGAGGAGGAAGCTGGGGCTGGAACCCTAGTAGGAGAGGAGGTACCTGGCTCAGGGCAGGGCTGTTGAGAGGAACTCAGTTACTAAAGAGCAGTTGGGGGCAGGGGGAGGAAGAGGGAGGATTTAGGACAAGGCCGCTGAGTAGGTGGTGTGGCTGTCCCTGAGATGGGATCTGGGGGGAGGCATGGGTTTCATTTATTCATTCTTCATGAATTCATTCATTTTATAAAAGGCATATTGAATTTCCCTTGTGGGCCAGGCAACGTTCTAGACTTGGGATACATGTCAGTGACATACATCACTGAAAGCGGACCGACATTCCTGTTCCAGGCAGATTCTGCTGTAGTGGAGGAAGCAGACAGTGAGCAAGACGCACACGGTGCTGGGTGCAAATGGGATGAGATCAGAGAGGGTGGCAGGGAGCTGGTTTCCATAGGGTGTTCAGGGAAAGCCTCACCAGAAGGCAGCATTGGAGCAGAGACCTGCAGGAGGTGAGGGGTTGAAAGATCTCTGGGAAAAGTGTTCCTGGCAGAGGGAGCTGCTGGTGCAAAGCCCCCGAGGCAGGTTTGAGCTGGATGTGTTCTGGGAATAGCAAGGAAGCCAGAGTGATCTCGGGGCAGAGGGTGAGAGATGAGGTCAGGGAGGTACCAAGGCCAGACCCCACGGGTCCCACAGGATGTGGGGAAGGCTCTTACTCAGAGATGGGCACCACAGGAGCGTTTTGAGTGGGGCAGCAACGTGATGGGGTTTGAGGGATATGAGTGGCCTTCTTGTCCAGAGCCCAGGAGAGAGGCCTGGGCTGGGGCCAGACTTAGTCGGAGATCAGGGGTCTGTGGGAGGCTGTCTGGCGGTCAGGGCACCTGACGCTTCCCTACCCCGGGTGTCTGTTCCTAGGAGATTGAGGAAGACCGTAAGAAAGCTGAACTTGAGGGAGTCGCGGTCACAGCTCCCCGAAAGGGCCGCTCAGTGGAGAAGGAAAATGTGGCAGTGGAGTCGGTGAGCTCATCACTGGGGTTAGGGATCCTGGGGATGGGGAGGGGCAGAGGGTTGAGGCCTGGGACCCAGGAGCCCCCAGCTGTCCTGCACCAGTGGGTGGCCTCCATCCTGGCCGCATGCCTGCCTGCCCCAGTGACTGTATTTTCCCCATCTCCCCTCTTCCAGGAGAAGAACCTGGGTCCTTCCCGGAGGTCTCCTGGGACCCATCGGCCCCCAGGGGCCAGCAAGGGGGGCCGGACTCCTCCACAGCAGGGAGGCCGGGCTGGCATGGGCCGAGCATCGCGCAGCTGGGAGGGAAGTCCTGGGGAGCAGCCTCGAGGAGGAGGAGGAGCTGGGGGCCGTGGCCGGAGGGGCCGGGGCCGGGGTTCCCCTCACCTCTCTGGAGCTGGAGACACCTCAATCTCTGACCGTAAATCTAAGGTAGGAGCTAGGCAGCACCTGGAGCCCTGGCTGAGGTTCTCTGTTGTCTGTTTCTGTCTGTTCCTCCTCTCAAATGCACAGTTGTCCTGTATGTCCATCTTTCGGCATCTGTCTCCGAGTGTCTGCATCCGTCTGTGTTTCTCTCTTCCTTTACCACCTCCTCCTCCTCCTGCTCTCCCTCTTCTTTTTTTTTTTTTTTTTTAAGTACAATTTCCATTTTATTTTTCTCCAGAGAATAGTCTGTCTCAGTCTTTAAGGACTCAGCTCCTTACATGGGTTTTGGTGGGGGACGTGGGGCAGCACCCGCAGGTCTAAATCGGGGAGGGGGTGTTCGGTCCTTGCGGGCTTCACGAGATCGATTCCTGACTACTTTGCTGTGAATTGCACAACTCACACAGTAATGCAGCTTCCCATACAGCTTGGGAAGCACATAGGCATCAAAGACACTCGCTTCAGAAATGTCCCTGACCGCTGCGGCCTCCACTATGTTTCGAATGACGAATTTCTTAATGGCCTTGTCCTTGGGCACGCATCGGGCACAGTTAGTGCAGCGAATAGGCTGCACATGGCCGCGGCCCTTTTTGGCACGACCGTTGTTCCTTCTTTTCTTTGTCATTTTGGACGTACGGACCGACTGCTCTCCCTCTTCTATTTCCTCCTGTTCCTTCCCTCTCTCCTCACGCCCAGAGCTCGCATGTTCCTCGTCTCTTTCTCTCCTGCCCATGCTCCCCCTCTTCTCATTCCTCCTCGCCTTCCTTCCCTCCCCTCTCCTGCAACACCTAGTGCTGCGTGTCCTCTGTCGCTCGCTCTTTGTCTCCCTTTTTCTGGCTTTCTGGTGCATGCTTGCCCGCTCATCCTCTGTCCTCACCTCTCCTGCCTTTCTGGCTCTGTGTGTGTCTGGTGGGCTGTCTCTGTCTGGTGTGCTTGTGGGCACAGGCTCTGTGTGGCATTCTGTTTCTGTGTTTGTGTTGGTCCCCGGCTTTGTTTGTGGGGAGCAGTGATCTTACTGTAACTGCCTCACTCACCCATGACGTGCAGGTCAGCGGGGTGTCAGGCGTCTAGCTGAGTGACGGACAGCCCACCATGGACATGGGTTGAACCTGGTTCTGTGAGTTACCTGTCCTTGGGCAGCTCACTTCCCCTGTGAGCTTCTGGTTCTGGCATTTACACGGGAATAAGAAGATTCAAAAATTAGCCGGGCGTGGTGGTGGGCACCTGTCATCCCAGCTACTTGGGAGGTTGAGGCAGGAGGATCATTTGAACCTGGGAGGCGGAGGTCACAGTGAGCTGAGATGGTGCCACTGCACTCCAGTCTGGGTGACAGAGTGAGACTCCATATCAGAAAAAAAAAAGCTGGGTGCGGTGGCTCACACCTGTAATCTCAACACTTCAGGAGGCCAAGGTGGGCAGATCACCTGAAGTCAGGAGTTCGAGACCAGCCTGGCCAACATGGTGAAACCCTGTCTCTACTAAAAATACAAAAAATGAGCCAGGCATGGTGGCACACGCCTGTTATCTCAGCTACTCAGGAGGCTGAGGCAGGAGAAGTGCTTGAACCTGGGAGGCAGAGGTTGCAGTGAGCTGAGATCACGCCGTTGTACGCCAGCCTGGACAACAAGAGTGAAATTCTGTCTCAAAAAAAAAAAAAGAATTAGACTTAAATTGGGCATGCCAAGCTGCTGTCACAGAAAGACGCCAAAAATCTCACGACCTAAGTAGAGTAGGAGTTTTTGTATGCTGAGCCCTGCAGGGAGGTGGGTGGTCCAGGGGGTGAGGCCCCGCTCCATGATGTCACTCAGGGACCCAGGTTCCTGCTTTTTTGTGTTTGAGACGGAGTCTCGCTCTGTTGCCTATGCTAGAGTGCAGTGGCGTGATCTTGGCTCACTGTAAGCTCCGCCTCCCAGGTTCACGCCATTCTCCTGCCTCAGCCTCCCAAGTAGCTGGGACTACAGGTGCCTGCCACCACGCCCATCTTATTGTTTTTTTTTTTTTTGTATTTTTAGTAGAGACGAGGTTTCACTCTGTTAGCCCGGATGGTCTCAATCTCCTGACCTTGTGATCCACCTGCCTGGGCCTCCCAAAGTGCTGGTATTACAGGCGTGAGCCACCACCCCCGGCCACGTTTAAAATTTTTTGTAGAGACAGGGTCTTGCTATGTTGCCTAGTCTGGCCTTGAACTCGTGGACTCAAGCAATCCTCCTGCCTTGGCCTCGCAACGTGCTTGGATTAGAGGTTTAAGTCACCATGTCAGCCTGGAGGCTGGTTTTGAACGCAGGCTCCTTCCGTCTAGTATGTACTGAAATTCCAGACCCCCCCATAGGAAAGCCAGTGCAGTATATACTGTGTTGTTTGCATAGACTAGGCCTGACCAACCAACCTCATAGTTCACTACTGACCCTGAGCACGGAGCATGCTGAGAGCAAATGCTCAGACACCAGCAGACCAGTCCGAGGAGAGGAGCCTCAGGCCTGCTGGGCAGCCCCTCTCCTGCACGGGCGGCCTAATGGTTCTCCCTGAAACTGGGTATCTCTATCTTTATCCCCCCAGGAGTGGGAGGAGCGGCGCAGACAGAACATTGAGAAGATGAACGAGGAGATGGAGAAGATCGCCGAATACGAGCGCAACCAGCGGGTCAGTGGTGCGGGTGTCCCCGTGGCGGGGCCCAGCTCCCTGGGCTGCAGGGAGCCGGTGTCAATCCTCTGCTCTGCTGCCTGCAGGAAGGGGTGCTTGAACCCAACCCGGTGCGGAACTTCCTGGATGATCCCCGGCGACGCAGTGGGCCCCTGGAGGAATCTGAGCGGGACCGCCGGGAGGACAGCCGCCGGCATGGTCGCAACTGGGGGGGCCCTGACTTTGAGCGGGTGCGCTGTGGCCTCGAGCACGAGCGGCAGGTGGGTGCTGGCGGTGAGGACACCCCGGGGCTGTCAGGGCTATGATGGGGACTGCGCAGCAGGAACCAGACAGATCAGGGCCATGGGGCCTCTCCTTTTTTGTGCCGTAGCACAGGACTTTTTTTTTCATTGAGACGGAGTCTTGCTCTGTCACCCATTCTGGAGTGCAGTGGCGCCATCTCGGCTCACTGCAACCTTTACCTCCCGGGTTGAAGCAATTCTTCTGACTCAGCCTCCCAAGTAGCTGAGATTATAGGCGAGTATCACCATGCCTGGCTAATTTTTTCGTATTTTCAGTAGAGATGGGGTTTCACCATGTTGGCCAGGCTGGTCTTCGCAACTCCTGACCTTAAGTAATCTACCTGCCTCGGCCTCCCAAAATGCTGGGATTACAGGTGTGAGCCACCATGCTTGGCCAGGATTTTAATTATTAAGGATTTGTGGTATGTTTTGTTTCCTGCTAAGGCAAATCTCCCCTCATTGTTAATGACATCAGCATTTATGAGGCACCTACCATGTGGCAGGTGCTGTGTGAGGGGTGGGGACCTGACCTAGAAGAGGAGGGAGGGGCAGTGTCCTTGCACTTGGTGGTCGACCCCCAAATTGTTCGTCTGTTGGTTCTTCTGTCAGTACCACGCTGCTCTAGTTGTTACAGCTTTGTGGTATGTTTGAGGGTTTTCTTGTTACTAACAGTATTTTTTTTTTTTTTTTTGAGACGGAGTCTTGCTCTGTCGCCCAGGCTGGAGTGCAGTGGCGCCATCTTGGCTCACTGCAAGCTCCGCCTCCTGGGTTCACACCATTCTCCTGCCTCAGCCTCCTGAGTAGCTGGGAGTAGCTGCATGCCCGGCTAATTTTTTGTATTTTTAGTAGAGATAGGGTTTTACCATGTTAGCCAGGATGGTCTTAATCTCCTGACCTTGTGATCCGCCCGCCTCGGCCTCCCAAAGTGCTGGGATTACAGGCGTGAGCCACCACGCCCAGCGGGATAAGAGTTTTGAGGCAGAGCCCCTTCCTTGATGAGGTTTCTATTGGTGGGAGCTGAGTGAATGAAAATATAGCAAGATGTGAGGTCCTGCCAAGTGTTGTGGAGAAAAATCCAGCAGCTGAGGGGACAGAGGGATGCTACAGATCTGAGAGGGCCTCTCTGAGGAGGTGCCACCTGAGCCTACTTGGTTGTGATCTCTGCCTTGTCACTGCTTCCCTGTGTGACCCTGAGCAAGTGGATGTGCCCTGGGGCTTAGGGGTGGGGGGGGGTGTGGGACAGTGCCCTGACTCCCCCTGGGCTGGGGGGCAGGGCCGCCGAGCTGGCCTGGGCAGTGCTGGAGACATGACGTTGTCCATGACGGGCCGGGAGCGGTCGGAGTACCTGCGCTGGAAGCAGGAGAGGGAGAAGATCGACCAGGAGCGGCTGCAGAGGCACCGCAAACCCACTGGCCAGTGGCGGCGCGAGTGGGACGCCGAGAAGACTGATGGGATGTGAGTCTCCTCCCCACTGCCCTCCCCGTGTGGCACCTTGACCTTGGCCCTGACTTCTAAGTCCTGTGCCTCTCTCTGGTTTCTCCTGCTTTGTATGAGTGAGTGACTGCTATATCCTGAGATGCTGTGGACCAGCTGCCGGAGCTCAGCAGCACGGCAGCACGTGAGAGCACTTCTGTTTTTCTTTTTTTTTTTTTTTTTTGGAGACAGAGTCTTGCTCTGCCGCCCAGGCTAGATGGAGTGCAGTGGCGCGATCTCAGCTCACTGAAACCTCTGCCTCCTGGGTTCAAGCAATTCTCCTGCCTTAGCCTCCTGAGCAGCTGGGGTGAGAGGATTTCTTCTGTATGCACGGGTGTGCTGGGCTCATCTGATCCAGGCTGGATGCTAAGCTGTGGGTCCCACTGGGCTTGGCTCCTTGCGGCAGGGTGAACTCATTCTGCGCCAGGGTGTTCATTCTGCTATCCAGGCTGAGGGCAGCAGCTGCCTGGGGAGCGCTTGCCCTGACATGGGCAGATGCACAAGCGGGCACACTTGCCAGTCGTTTTTGCCAGCACACTCCATCTCACTGGGGCAGGGAAGTACGCTCTGCCCACTCCAGTGGATAAGAACACCGGTGGCTGCAGGGATGTCAGTTCCAATGCAGGGAGGGTGTGAAGGCTGTTTAACAGCGATTAGACCTTTGCATCCTCCCGCCAGCCTCTGACCTATCCCCACCAACACAGATTCCTGAACGTCTTTCCATGCCCCACCATCACCTTCTTCTTCTTCTTTTTTTTTTCTTTGGAGATGGAGTCTCGCAGTGTTGCTTGGGCTGGAGTATAGTGATGTGATCTCGGCTCACTGCAACCTCTGCCTCCTGGGTTCAAGCGATTCTCCTGCCTCAGCCTCCCGTGTAGCTGGAATTACAGGTGCCTGCCACCACATCCAACTAATTTTTGTATTTTTGGTAGAGACAGGGTTTCACCATGTTGGCCTGGCTGGTCTTGAACTCCTGACCTCATGATTTGCCCACCTGAATCTCCCAAAGTGCTGAGATTACAGGTGTGAGCCACCGCACCTGGCACCACCACCTTACCCCAGTGGCATTGTTAACCTCAAGTTTGACTCTGTCCCCCGATTCATCAGACTTAAAGCCCTCATCACATCGTCGTCATGGGGACCAACTTCCATAGCCAAGAAGGAGAAGGTTCAGGAAGAGCCAATAAATGGCAGTATTTAAAGATCAGCAACTTTAGGTTTTACCTCATCTCCCATTCTTTCCTGTGTTGAAAGTTTTCATTCACCTATAACTTGTGTTTTGGCTTTGGCTAAGGAGAAGGATTTTGTCTGCCCGGTGGTCGGGAAGCATTCTGTTGTGGATTGTGAGCTAAGCCTGTGCAAGTGTGAGAAATATTTTGCTCAGATACTATAGCTGATCTTCCTAAGGAGGAGGCAGCTGGACTTTTGGGGAGATGTTCTCAGTGTTCACAGTGAGAAAGTATTTGTTTTTCTTGTGTGTCCCAAAAACAGTTTGCAACAAGTCTGATTAATAATGTGTGTGTGGGCTGGGTGCAGTGGTTCACATCTGTAATCCCAGCACTTTGGGAGGCCGAGGCAGGTGGATCATGAGGTCAGGAGATCAAGACCATCCTGGCCAACACGGTGAAACCCCGTCTCTACCAGAAATTCAAAAAATGGCGGGACGCAGTGGCTCCTGCCTGTAATCCCAGGACTTTGGGAGGCCGAGGCGGGCAGATCACGAACGAGGTCAGGAGATGGAGACCATCCTGGCTAACATGGTAATACCCTGTCTCTACTAAAAATACAAAAAATTAGTCAGATGTGGTGGCGGGCGCCTGTAGTCCCAGCTACTCGGGAGGCTAAGGCAGGAGAATGGTGTGAACCCGGGAGGCGGAGCTTGCAGTGAACCGAGATCGTGCCACTGCACTCCAGCCTGGGTGAAACAGCGAGACTCCGTCTCAAAAAAAAAAAAAAAAAAAAAAAAGTGTGTGTGGGCCAGGCGCAGTGGCTCACGTTTATAATCCCCACAATCCCAGCACGTTAGGAGGCCGAGGCTGGAGGACTGCTTGAACCCAGGAGGTTTGCAGTGAGCCGTTATGATGCCACTGCACTCCAGCCTGGACCACAGAGCAAGACCCTATCTCTAAGAAAAAAAAAAATGCATGGTGTCTTGCTTTCATCAGCATATATTTGAGTCCCCCCTATGTCATAGAAGGTTCTAGGTGATACAGCAGCAAACAAAATATTTCTGCCTTGGTGGAACTAAGAATGTAGTGGGCAAGGTGGGTAATGAAGAGGTCTAATGTCAGGCCCGGAAGGACAATGAAGCAGAGTAAGCAGCCAGGGTGGAGATTAGAATTTTAGACTTAGATAATCTGTGTAATAATAATAATAATATTATTTTCTTTTTTTTTGAGACTGAGTCTTGCTGTGTTGCCCAGGCTAGAGTGCAGTGGTGTGATCTCAGCTCACTGCAACATCCACCTCCTGGGTTAAAGTAATTCTCCTGACTCAGCCTCCGGAGTAGTTGAGATTACAGGTGCCCGCCACCATGCCTGGCTAACTTTTTTTTTTTTTTTTTTTTTGAGACAGAGTCTTGCTATGTTGCCCAGGCTGGAGTGCAGTGGTGTGATCTCGCCTCACTGCAAGCTCTGCCTCTCAGGTTCATGCCATTCTCCTGCCTCAGCCTCCCGAATAGCTGGGACTACAGGTGCCTGCCACCACGCTTGGCTAATTTTTTGTATTTTTAGTAGAGACAGGGTTTCACCGTGTTAGCCAGGAGGATCTCTATCTCCTGACCTCATGATCCGCCCACCTCGGCCTCCCAAAGTGCTGGGATTACAGGTGTGAGCCACCTGCGCCCGGCCTAATTTTTGTATTTTTAGTAGACATGGGGTTTCACCCTGGTCTCAAACTCCTGGTCTCAGGTGATCCACCCATCTGGTGTCCCAAAGTGTTGGGATTACAGGTGTGAGCCACCATGCCCGACCCTAATATTGTCTTAGCTGGGGGTTCAGGAAGGCCTCTGAGCGGAGCCCTGAAAGGAGGTTGAGGGAGTGAGCCAGTGAAAAATGTGGGAAGAACGTTTCAGGAGCAGGCGCTAAGGCCCTAAGGCAGGAGCTAGGTGTGGTGGAAGAGCCTGCTTAGCTGGAGAGGCGAGAGAGACTGGTGGGAAAAGTCAGTCAGTTGGGGGTCATGTACTTGGGCAAGGGTCTGTGGTGATTCCCCCAGATTTTTGTTTTGGCGCCCACATTCTGAATCTTTCTGTATTTGTCACTATGCTGTCAAACTTGCCTCTCACCCATCACCTGGTCCTATTTTTTTTTGAGATAGGGTCTCCCTCTGACACCCAGGCTGCAGTACAGTGGCTTGATCATGGCTCACTGCAGCCTTGACCTCCCAGGCTTAAGCAATCCTCCCTCCTCAGCCTCCCTAGTAGCTGGGATTACAGGCGTGCGCCACCACGCCCAGCTAATTTCTGTATTTTTTGTAGAGGTGGGGCTTCACCATGTTCACCAGGCTGGTTTCAACTCCTAGGCTTAAGGGATCTGTCTGCCTCAGCCTCCCAGAGTACTGGGATTACAGGCTTGAGCCACCATGCCCAGCCCTGTCCTACTTCTAGTGACCCCTGTCTGGTTGACCATCTGTCACTGATCCGATTTCTGACCCTGACCTCTCCTATCTTCTTGATCCTCTTGTTACCGTGTTCCCCCAGCTGCCCGCTCATCCGTTATCTTTCCCCAGGTTCAAGGATGGCCCAGTCCCTGCCCATGAACCATCCCACCGCTATGGTGAGTGGGTGCCCTTGGATGAGCCGAGGCTCGGTCTGGGAGTCGGGTGGTGTGTGCCACGCCTTCCCTTTCCGACGATACCTGGGTTCTGTTGCAGATGACCAGGCCTGGGCCCGGCCCCCGAAGCCCCCTACGTTTGGGGAGTTCCTGTCCCAGCGCAGAGCTGAGGCCAGCAGCCGCAGGAGGAGAAAGAGCAGTCGGCCTCAGGCCAAGGCAGCACCCCGGGCCTACAGGTGGGGCATCCCTTCTGTGGGCTTGCATACCTCCAGGACTCTCCACAGGGCATCCTCTTCTTTGGCTTGCTGTGAAGGTGTGGGTACATCTGTCTGTCCCTGTCTTTGTCTTGGCCCGATCTCGCAGGTCTGTGGTTTGAGGGGCTTGGGATCTGTCTCTTGGTTTTACCTTCATCTGTCCCCTTTCTGCCCTTACCCATCTCCTCTTCTGCCACCTGCCCCGCTATCTTTGACACCTGGGGACACACATCTGCCATTCCCTCAGTGCTCCAACATGCCAGGTGCTCTGGGCAGCTCCTCCCTAGGGAGGGTGGAAGCAGGAAGCCCTTCCTCCTGTCTACTCTCCACCCAGGCATCACCCCTTCCCTTGTTCCCTCTAGTGACCATGATGATCGCTGGGAGACAAAAGAGGGGGCAGCATCCCCAGCCCCTGAGGCTCCACAGCCCACTTCCCCTGTGGAGACATCCACGCAGGTGAGGCTGGGCCGCGGTTCAGGGCATGGGCCTGGGGTGGGGGCTCAGGGCCTGCGCCTTGGCCTGACTTGCCTATGTCCCCAAAGCTACCCAAGATCCCAGCTCCTGCACACCAGCCTCCCGAAGACAAGGGGGAAGAGAACGAGGGGGAAGAGGATGAAGAATGGGAGGACATAAGTGAGGATGAGGAGGAGGAGGAGGAGGAGGAGATCGAGGTGGAAGAAGGTGATGAGGAGGAGGAACCAGCCCAAGACCACCAAGCCCCAGAGGCCGCCCCCACTGGGAGCCCCTGCAGTGAGCAGACCCACGGAGTCCCCTTCAGTCCAGAGGAGCCCCTGCCGGAGCCCCAGGCCCCTGGCACGCCTTCCAGCCCTTTCTCACCACCCAGCGGCCACCAGTCCGTGTCCGATTGGGGTGAAGAGGTGGAGCTGAATTCTCCCCGGACCACCCACCCGGCTGGTGCCCTCTCTCCGGGTGAGGCCTGGCCTTTTGAGACTGCATGAAGCTGGCTGTGTGTGTGTGTGTGCGCGCGCGCACAAGTGCGCGTGCCCTGGAGGGGTGTGGCTGATGGGGGACCCTTGGAGGCTGGGCCCTGGGACCCAGTGTGTCCTATAGCCATGGTGGCTGTTGGTTGGGGGATAGCCCATGCTCTTCTGTACGGTCATGCTCTTCTTTGGAATGCCTCCTCCCAGAGCCTGCCCCAGCTCTTCGAGCTCCCTCCCCAATAAAGAGTTCACATCCTCAAATGACATTCCCCCAGGTGTGTCCTTGAACCCCCTTCAACTCCCCCTGGGCCTTCTCTCTTGGGGTAGGGAGATGTCAGGAGGGAAAGGGGGCTTGACCGGGCCTCCCCTTCCCTAGGAGGTGGCCAGTCAGCCCCTGCCTCCCTGGAGAGTGGGCCCAGCCTCCCAGGAACCCAGAAAGCTGAAGAGGAAGGGTCTGAGGCAATTCCAGGTGGGGGAGTGCATGGGGCAGGGGGTGGAGGCTGCTGCTGCTGCTTTCTGTGGGGCTGAGGGGCAGAGGGCTTGGGGGAGTGGGGTGAGTGTGTGTAGGGAGCAGTTGGACCATAGAGGTGAGGCGAAAAGGGTGAGCTGGGATAGGGATTGGAGACGAGCTGGGTGGCAGGGGTGGGGCAAAGGGGCAACTTTATGGGCCAAGCCAATAGGAATTGGGTATGTGGGTGGAGGTTGAAGGGGGGGGTAAGGAAAGGATTAGAATTTTGGAGTGGAGCTCAGGGTTTTGGAAAGCACTGGTTTAAGAGTAATGGGGTGTGGTCAGACACCTTGGCTCATGCCTGTAATCCCAGCACTTAGGGAGGCTGAAGTGGGCAGATCACTTGAGGTCAGGAGTTCCAGACCAGTCTGGCCAAGAAGGTGAAACCCCGTCTTTACTAAAATAAAAAAATTAGCTGGGCGTGGTGGCGTGCGCCTGTAATCCCAGCTGCTTGGGAGGCAGGAGGATCGCTTGAACCTGGGAGGCGGAGGCTGCAGTGAGCAGAGATCGCTCCACTGTACTCCCACCTGGGCGACAGAGCGAGACTCCGTCTGGGGTGGGGGGGAAAGCGGGGGGTTGGTGTACTAGGGCAGGAGCTAAAGGTGGACTTCGAAATTTGAACTGGCTCGAAAAGGCCAAAAAGATGTGCAAGGGCAGAAAACTGGATTTAACTGTGGCTGGGATTAGAGTTTTGAGGTGCAACCTAGTGGGGCAAATTAGAATAGAGATGCGGACCCCATCAGCATTTTGGGACCGACGAAGTGTGAGCAAGAGGCCGAGCCCCTCTCCACCTACACTTCGTAGGAGTAAGATTTCGAATCTCAGATGGTCTCCCCTCCCCGCAGAGTGGGATTAGGATTTGGGGGGCAGAGCCGACGAAGGACTGGTTAGAATAGCAGGCGGTGGCGAAGGAAAGGGGAGGACGGATCCTCTAGGACTGGCTTGGTGGAGGTTGGTGAAGGCTGTGAGACGGGGCGGGGGTGGGAGAGGACAGTTTGCAGCGGTGGGTGGCGCGGGGGCCTAGGCGCTCTGTCTTGGGCCACGTGTTGGTCGGGAGACAGAGCGCACCACACCCGCTTTTCCCCGATTGTAAACAGGGTTATGTTGCTGGGGGTGTTTGCTGCTGCGTGGGTCCGCTGAGAGGATTAGTCTAGGCTGTGTAAACCGCTTAGCGCCAAGCCGGCTGTGGCAGGGGCTCGAACGGGCAGGGGGCGTGGCTAGGCGGGGGAGTGGTCCTGGGCCTGGGGGGAGGTAGGAAGACTAATTCCCTCCGCTGACTCAGCCCCTTCTCTCCTCAGAGGCGGGCCCCGAGGGCCAGGAGACGGCGGAGATCACCGACTTCCAGAGGGTGCGTTTCTGCAAGGTGGTGGCGGCCCCTCCGCCGCCGGGGGCCGCTCGCTGACCGCGCCCGCCGGACCGCGGCCTCCGCGCTCTGCACTAACCTCCCATCGCCTCGCTTCTCTGTCCTCTGCTTCTGCCACACTCCAGCCAGGAGAGGGTTAAATGTAAGGGGGGAGGAGCCAGGGTTTGCGAGCCGGGCGGGGCCAGGGCAGTAGTCGGTGCAGGCCCCACCAACGGGGGACGTCGCGGTACCGGGACGGCTGGGACGCTTCCGCGTTAGCCTCCCATGGAGGCCCTGGGCGGCTCGGGTCGAATTTCCCGCCTCCAGGATTGCATCCGAGGCCTGGCAGATAGCCGGTGACTCTTCCGAAGGGCTTGAATTACTCGGGCACCAGCCTTGTCTTATTAAACGCAATGCTTCCGCTCACCCTTGAACTGTGTTTCTGGAGGGGGCAGGCTGGGTCGCTGTGCTTGGCGGGCTTTTCCGTGTTGGAAGAGGCGGGAGGAAGGAGTCTTCCTTCACCCTTCTGATCCGTCTTCCCTCCCCCACCTCCCGCAGGCCTCCCCGAATTCCTGAAGACGCTGCTGGGAGGGGACTGAAGCTTCCCCGCCTTGATGGGGAGGGGGCGTCAGGAGGGGTTTATCTGGATTTCCAGGCTGTCTTCTGTCTTCCCCAGAGCCTAGTCTGGACCCCTTGGCTCTAGAGAGAAGACGGTGGGGGAGGAGCTGGGACAAGGGGCGCGATTGCGGTGAGGGGCGGAGTGGAACCTCGGGGCCTGAGGTGGTGCTGAGCGACCAGGAAAGGGGGCTGAGCGTGTGCTGGAGGCGGCGAGTCCCGCAGTTGCGGGGCCGGAATTCCGACAAGCGGAGTTAGGCGGGGGGCGGGGTCGGCGCGCGCGGGTGGGGATCTTGCCCCGGTCATGGGGCGGGGCCATCCGCGGGGGCGTGGTCGGGGTGCCGCGCGGGAGTCCGCGGAGGAGGAGAGCAGGGACTCCGGCCTAGACTGTGGGAGCCAGAGGGCAGCGCGCGGGGCTTGAGCGCTGGAGTAGACAGTCCGACAGTCAGCGAGAGATACTGGCTGCGGCAGAGGGCGGCGTACGGCTCCAGGCAGGGCTTGAGCGGGACGAGGGGGCCGGCTCCGAGGCGGGGTAGACGCCTGGGCTGGATGAAGTCCGGGTCTGGGAAGAGAACCGGGTTGTGGCAGGAGCAGGCGGTGATAGAGGTGATGGGGCTAAACGCGGGGGCGGGGCTAACACCTCCGCCGGTCGGTGGTTGGGCGGAGGCTGGAGGGGGTGGGCCTAGGATGCGGAGCCGTGTGGGGGCGTGACCATGCTTGGCGGGGGCGGGGTCGGAGGCGGGCGATTTAGAGCGCGGGGCGGTCCTGCGGGATGGGGGCGGGGCCTGGCGGGGGCGGGGCCTGTGCGGGCCGCGGCGCGGAGCCGAGTGGGCTGCGGGGATGCGGGGGACCAGCTGCGTGGGCGGCGGCGCCGAGAGCCCCGGCGGCGCGGGGCTGAGCGAGGGCCCACGGGGACGTTGGCTGCGCTTGGCCCCAGTCTGCGCCTACTTCCTCTGCGTCTCGCTGGCTGCCGTGCTGCTCGCTGTGTACTACGGTCTCATCTGGGTACCCACGCGGTCCCCCGCGGCGCCCGCCGGCCCGCAGCCCAGCGCGCCGTCCCCTCCGTGTGCCTCCCGCCCGGGCGCGCCGCCTGTCCCGGCGCCCGCCGCTGCCTCCGTCTCCTGCCTCCTGGGAGTCCCCAGCGGGCCCCGACCCCAGCTCCAGCTGCCGCTGAGCCGCCGCCGCCGCCGCTACAGCGACCCTGGCCGCCGCCCGAGCCACCAGACAGCCAGAGAGACGCCAGAGGCCGCGGAGGGTCGAGGACCTGGGTAACTCTCCCTTCCACCCCAACCCGCGTCGCCAGCCCTCAAGATCTCTGTGCTCCACATCGAGGATGCACCGTCTCCGGATGGGTCCGGCCTCCTTCCTAGTGACATCGCCCAGCGTCTCTGGAGCTGTCATCCTGCGGAATGGGGGCCCAGGGGGTGTCGGCTCGGGGCCTTGCCTCTTGCAGCTCCTCTGTGATCAGACCGGGTCCTCCACCATCAGGAAGATCCCATCCTGAGCTCTGTCTCCTGCTCCTCCTGCTGTGGGATGCTGAGCACAGAGCCCACAGCCCATCTGCCTTCTCACCTCCCTGAATCTGTGTCCATCTGCAATAAACTACAGCCTCAGCTGCCTCGTGCTGTGTCTGTCCTGTTGTCTGCAGAGATGCCTCCCCTCCCAAGTTTGTGTGGGGAAGACCTTCCTGGGTGTGGCCTTTGTCTCTCTTGTCCCGGGTGGGCTGTTCTCCTTCCTTAAGGCGCTCTTCTCTTTTTGGTTGGAGTAGGGAGAAGAAGCTTAGCAGCAGCAGGGCCTTTGAAGGTCAGACAGTGGGAAGGGCTTCCCAGTTTTTTGTGTGCTTGGAGCAAAGGACAGATGTCTCTGGAGAGAAGCAGAGTGTCTGCCCTCGTGTTACAGCACAGGAGACAAGAGGAGGAGTGGGGTGATTTAGGACAATAGCTGGGGTTCTGGGAATTGCTGTTGGTGTAATTATCATGTCAGGGACAGAGGCTAAATAACTCAGGGATCTCAGTTGGCTGCCGAGAGGGAACGATGCTGGCCCACTTCCTGGGGTCAGAGAGATGAGAGTGGATGGCGGCGGTGGTGGTGTTGCTTCTCAACCTGTCTGGAAATCTCACAGCCAATCACCAAAGCGCTGTGCTGCCTTGGAAGACCGGTGCAGCCTCTCTGGCCTGCGGCGCTGCTAGGAAACCTAGACCAGGAAACTGAGGTCTAGCTTCTGGGCAAGGAGTCCGAGGTGGGGAGGCCATGTTCCATCCTGGAAGACTGAGGCCTGGCTCTGGGCAGGGCCTGGGATCTGACATGCAAGAAACTGGTCCCTTTCCAGCCTCCCGGCTTGAGCTGGAGTCCTTCCCAGGAGAGTGAAGCTGAGCCTTTTCTCTCACATTGTGGCTCCTGGAGATCTGTGGAGGTGGTTCCTTAGGAAGGTCAGCTGCTCTGCTCACCTCCCCTTACCCCACCACCACTCCCCAGAGCGTGTCTGTGGATAGAAGGGGAATCCAGGAAGCCAGCACCAATTTTTTTTTTTTTTTTTTTGAGACGGAGTCTCGCTCTGTCGCCCAGGCTGGAGTGCAGTGGCCGGATCTCTGCTCACTGCAAGCTCCGCCTCCCGGGTGTATGCCATTCTCCTGCCTCAGCCTCCCAAGTAGCTGGGACTACAGGCGCCCGCCACCTCGCCCGGCTAGTTTTTTGTATTTTTTTTCTTTAGTAGAGACGGGGTTTCACCTTTTTAGCCAGGATGGTCTCGATCTCCTGACCTCGTGATCCGCCCGTCTCTGCCTCCCAAAGTGCTGGGATTACAGGCTTGAGGCACCGCGCCCGGCCGCCAGCACTTCTTTATAGTCAGCATAGGTGATAGGGGCACTGACTGAGGCAGGACTATTCGGGTACAAATTCCAGCTCCTCTCATTACAAACTGTGTGACTTTGGGCAGGTCACTCGACTTCTGTGTTTGTTTTCTTTTCTTTTCTTTTCTTTTTTGATATGGAGTCTCGCACTGTTACCCAGGCTGGAGTGCAGTGGCATGATCTCGGCTCACTGCAACCTCCGCCTTCCAGGTTCAAGTGATTCTCCTGCCTCAGCCTCCTGAGTAGCTGGGATTATAGGTGTCTGCCACCACACCCAGCTAATTTTTTTTGTATTTTTATTTTTTATTATTTTATTTTTATTTTTATTTTGAGAGAAGTCTCACTCTTGTCTCCCACGCTTGAGTGCAATGGCTCGATCTCTGCTCACTGCAACTTCCACCTCCCGGGTTCAAACAGTTCTCCTGCCTCTGCCCTTCGAGTAGCTGGAAATAAGGCCCCTGCCACCATGCCTGGCTAATTTTTGTACTTTTTAGTAGAAACGGAGTTTCACCATGTTGGCCAGGCTTGTCTTGAACTCCTGACCTCAGGTGATCCGCCTGCCTTGGCCTCCCAAAGTGCTGGGATTATAGGTGTGAGCCACCGCACCCGGCTTTTTTTGGTATTTTTAGTAGAGACAGGGTTTCACCATGTTGGCCAGGCTAGTCTCAAACTCCTGACCTTGTGATTCGCCTGCCTGGGCCTCCCAAAATTCTGGGATTACAGGCGTGAGCCACCGTGCCTGGCCTATGTTTCTTTTTTTAAAAAAGTTTGTTTATATAAATTTTTTGAGACGAAGTCTTGCTCTATTGCCCAGGCTGGAGTGCAGTGGCATGATCTCTGCTCACTGCAACCTCTTCCTCCCGGGTTCAAGTGATTCTTCTGCCTCAGCCTCCCGAGTAACTGGGATTACAGGTGCCTGCCACCCCATCCGGCTAATTTTTGTGTTTTTAGTAGAGACGAGGTTTTGTCATGTTGGTCAGGTTGGTCTCAAACTCCTGACCTAAGGTGATTCGCCCACCTTGGCCTCCCGAAGTGTTGGGATTATAGGCGTGAGCCACTGCGCCCAGCCTTAAAATTTATTTGAATTAAAAAAAATTTTTTTTTTTTTTTAATAGAAATGGGGTCTCACACTATGTTAGCCAGGGTGGTCTTGAACTCCTGGGCTTAAGTGATCTTCCTGCCTTGGCTTCCCAAAGCCCTGGGATTATAGGCGTGAGCCACTGTGCCTGGCCCTGCCTCTGTAGTTCTGTAGAATGAAGATGCTAATGGTACTTGCTTCGTAGACTTGCTCTGAGGAATAAATAAACTGGTGATCTCAAGCCCTGAGAATGATGTCACATGTTCTCTATCTCCACCACTTCTGTCCCTCAGAGTTTAAAAGCCCCAGCTGGGATCCTCTGGGGATAGCAAGTCAGTCCAAAGCCCTGGCCACCAGCAAATGGTGAGTTTGAGGGGGGAGTCTCTCCATTTCGGTTCCCACTGGCCCCCCTCTCTCTGGTTTTCGTCTCTCTTCTCCCAGCCCCATTTTTTTCCTACTCTTTCATTTCCTTGTTTCTGTGTGTCCTGGCTCTTTTCTCTTTCTGTGTTTGTCTCTCTGCATGTCAATCTTTCTGTGTCCTGTGTGTCTCTCTGGTGTTTCTTGGTATTGTTTCTCTCTCCCACTCTCTATCTCTCTGACTCATTCTGTCGCCTCCCTATTGCTCTTTGTCCCCAGCTCGTTCTCTCTCTTTTTTTCTTTTTTTTTTTGGAGATGGAGTCTTGCTCTGTCAACCAGGCTGGAATGCAGTGGCGCTGGGATTACAGGCACGCACCACCACGCCTGGCTGATTTTTGTATTTTTAGTAGAGAGAGGGTTTCACCAGGTTGGCCAGGCTGGTCTTGAACTCCTGATCTCAAGTGAGCTGTCCGCCTCAGCCTCCCAAAGTGCTGGGATTACAGGCGTGAGCTGCTGTGCCCAGCCCCAGCTCATTTTCTTTCTTCTCTCCTCCACACTTATCTCACTCCAACACGTTCTTCCACCTTGGTCCCCTTCCCCTGCCCCCGTGCCCCACAGCTTCCAGTTCCCTAGTCGCAGTGTCTCCTGTCTCCTTCCCTTTATCTCTTCCTTTTCTCCTCCTGTTTCTCTTTTGATCTCCATTGTTTAATCTTTCTTTTAACAAATATTTTTTGAGTCCGGGCACAGTGGTTCTTGCCTGTAATCCCAGCATTTTGGGAGGCCAAAGCCGAAGGATCACTTGAGGCCAGAAATTAGAGACCAGCCTGTGTAACACAGCAAGACTTCATCTCGACAAAAAATTAAAAAATTAGCTGGGTGTGGTGGTGCATACCTGTAATCCCAACCAGGGATTACAACTCAGGAGACTGAGAGGAGAGGATTGCTTGAGTCCAGCAGGTCAAGGCTGCAGTGAGCTATGGCTGCACTGCTGCACCCCAGCCTGGGAAACATCAAGACTCTGTCTCTAAAAAACTAAAAAAACAACCCCCTCAAAACCCACAATTATTTTTCAAACATCTGCTGTGTGCCAAAGCTTATTTTAAACACTGGAGACCCAGGAGTGAATAAAACAGGCAAAAATTCCTGCTCTCGGCTGGGCATGGTGGCTCATGCCTGTAACCCCAGCACTTTGGGAGGCCAAAGCAGGAGGATCACTTGAGGTCATGAGTTTGAGACCATCCTGGACAACACAGTGAGATCCTGTCTGTACAAAAAATACAAAAATTAGCCGGGCATGATGGTGCTTGCCTTGTACTCCCAGCTACTCGGGAGGCTGAGGTGAGAGAATTGCTTCCTGGGAGGTCAAGGTTGCACTGACCTGTGACTGCACCACCGCACTCCAGCCTGGGCAAGAGAGCAAGACCCTGTCTCAGAAAAATTCCTGCTCTCAATGGAACCGAATATTAGTGGGGACACAGACAAGAAATACGACTAATGGCCGGGCGAGGTGGCTCATACCTGTAATCCCAGCATCTACTTGGGAGGCTGAGGCAGGAGAATTGCTTGAATCCAGGATGGGGAGGTTGCAGTGAGCCGAGATCGCACCACTGCACTCCAGCCTGGGTGACAGAGTGAGACTCTGTCTCAAAAAAAAAAAAAAAAAAAAAATTCCTGCTCTTAATGAAACTACATATTAGTGGGGACAAAGACAAGAAAAGTCATTAATAACTTTGAGTGAAAGCAGTGTAAGGGTGATGGGGATGTTGGAGGGGCTGGTTACTGGGTAGAAGTCCAAGGCAGGTGAGGACGAGGCTGGCAGGTCTCTGGTGGCTGAGGGAACAGTAAGTGCAAAAGCCTTGAGGATGGTGTGCCTGGCTTGTTCAAGGAACAGCAAAGAGGCCAGAGTGGCTGAAGCAAGAGGGAGTAGGGGAGAGCAAGAGGAGGAGGTGAGGCAAAAGAGGACAGGCAGCTTGATCAGGGCCTCATGAGCAGTGGCTCACCCCTGTAAACCCAGCACTTTGGGAGGCTGAGGTGGGTGAATCATGAGGTCAAGATATATAAACACACACATATACATACACACACACACATGTACAGATTTTGTTTGGTGGTTCCTCCATAAATTAAACACAGATTGTCAGGCGGGTCATGGTAACTCACGCCTGTAATCTCTTACAATTTCGGAGGCCAAGACGGGAGGATCACTTGAGTCCTGGAATTCAAAACCAGCCTGGACAACATAGGGAGATCCCGGCTCCACAAAAAATTAAAAATTAGGCAGGCATGGTGGCGCACACCTGTAGTCTCAGCTCCTTGGGAGGCTGAGGCAGGAGGAT